GTAAGTGGATTGCATCAAGATTATAATGGTAAAATGGCCTGAAACAGTTATTTCTTTACTGTTAACTTTCAGTTATTGCTATTTCACTGAATAGTTGTCACACTTATTCTGTGCAGTGTACTATTAACTCTTTCCCCACCAACGTTTATTTTTTCTTAATTGCCATCCACCCCCAGGGTTTTTGACGATTTTCGCTAAAATTTGATGGCCCACAGAATATTTTCTGTGAATATATGAAAACACTATATATCAAAATAAATAACTGGGCCTCTGTTTTAAAAACAAACAAACATTTTATTTTATCTTCATTTGTTCTTATTTTATCACCACTTTATACAACATTCTGGACAAAAGGCTGAGAAAAAAAATAAATAAAATTTTTTTATTAAAGGAGTGCATTTTCAAGTAGAATACATTCAGATGTCATTTCCTTCATATATACAACCTTCAGGAATAATTAAAAATTAAAAATAAATGTAAAATAAATTAAATTTAGGCACTGTAATTAGCTTTTGAGTGGTACACAGAGTAACATTTCTCAGGATGTAAGGGGACGCCACAACCTTCGCAGTAGAACGAGGTCTCCCTCCACAACCCCCTAAATTAACAATTCGAAAAAAGCCTACAGGTTATTCTGAATCAAGAGCAGCAGCATCACCATCAATGACTAAATCTAAAGATTAAGGTCTCTTCTCTTCTATTTATTCTTGTCACTCTACCTTAACTATATGTTTCTTTGAATGCCATAAATCCACCTACTAGTTCTATCCTCCTCCTATTGGTTCTGCTCCTCATTTGTTGTTTAATTATACTCTTTGCTTCAGTCTTCCTATATTTCACATTTTTTCTACATCTCTTTACTATGTATATTTCTTTGCACTCCTATCTCGTTTTACTCTCACATGAGCTAGTACCCATACAAATATAACTCTTAATCCCATCATCTGAATCATATATACAGCTAGTCAAACGTTTAACAGTAAGATTTTTAATGTTTTTATAAAGAAGTCTCTTCTGCTCACCAAGCCTGCATTTATTTGATTCAAAGTACAGCAAAAACTAGATATATTTTAAAATTTAATTTATTCCTGAGATTTCAAAGCTGATTTTTTTTTTTTAGCATTTTAGCATCATTACTCTAGTCACATTTCCTTCAGAAATCATTGTAATATTCTGATTTTCTGCTCAAAAAACATGTAGTATTATTATGATGTTGAAAACAGCTGAGTAGGTTTTTTCAGGTTTCTTTGATGAATAGAAAGTTCAGAAGAACAGCATTCATCTGAAATAGAATCTTTTGTAACATTATAAATGTCTTTATCATCAATTTAAAGCATCCTTGCTAAATAAAAGTAATTTCTGTAATTTCTTATAATTGCTTTTTCAGATATCTTAAAAGTATTGGTTGGTTGTATTAACTATTATGAAAACATTTAAGAGTTTTATTCACAGTGTTTTGAGAAAAATATTTGCATGATTTGAAATTTGTTGGAAATGAATGAAAACTTACAATCTGTTTAGGACTATTATAAAGTGTTCTTGTAAACTGTTTTGAGACCAGTAACCTGAGTTTGGAGAAATGTGTTAAATCGACTGAGAAAATGTGGAATGTTTATAAAAGGACATTGACTGAGACAAGATGACTGACAGTCTGGTTTACAGTGACACGTAATCATGCAACAGATCACAATTTTGAGACACTGTACAATAGTTTGTACCAAAGTTTGTCTCCTCCTCTGCTACACACTCAAATGTATCTAGTTTTTCTTTACGAAAAGAGAACAATTTTAGGTCAGTGGTTTTCAAACCTGCCCTGGAGCATGCTCAGCAACGCACATTTCGTATGTCTCCCTTATCTAACACACCTGATTCAACTCAACAGCTCATTAGTAGAGACTCCCCTTGTCCAAATACCCACACTTGCGGTCTTGGCCACTTGTCCCAGGTCTTAAAAACGCAAGAGCGCAGTGCCCTTAAAGCACACTAAATCCACACTATTGGGCCAAATACAGGAAATACGTTATATAAGTAGTCATGTGGTCAAGTGCAAAGACCGCAAGTGTGGGTATTTGGACAAGGCTACTGCAAAGCTTAAAGTGGGTGTGTTAGATAAGGGAGACATACAAAATGTGCGTTGCTGAGCATGCTCCAGGGCAGGTTTGAAAACCACTGTTTTAGAGTGTAGTGTAAGGAGGAGAATTGGGATACAGCAGCTGTTTTCTTTCTTGATGGATCTACAGGAAGTCGGATGTAAGAGTTGTTTAAGCAGTAACACCAGTAAAAAGCCATTTCCGTCATATTATTGATCATGTTTGAGTGTCATTGTAGTTTTTTATATTATCTACAGCATACATGTGATGGTGCCATTTTTAACATGAGGTATAACATCATTTTTAAATTCAAAATATGCCCTTGGGTCTTCAGACATGACAAGCAGTTTTATGATACTTGGAATTTCATATAATTGTTTAAAAATAAATAATGCCTAATAAATGACTCAAATGTGGGTATTAATGCTCAAATAACATTACATATAATACAAATATGCAACTCACTTGTGACTATACAGTCTGTTTTAAGTATAAGCTTTATGTAAACACTGGAGGCAGAAAAATGGAGGTTTCTATAGAATGATCCAGAAGGAACATGACAGGGTGAGAAATGGGCGTGTAAAGCTGTGGAAAAGTGGGAGTGTAAAAAAAAAAAAAAAAACTTTTTATCAAAGTAGTGCATTTTCAAGCAAAATACATCCAGATGTCATATTATTTCACCTGTAAATAATTATATGAATAATTTAAATTGCATTCAATAAACAGGACAAACAAACACAAACACACACATATATATATATATATATATATATATATATATATATATATATATACACATACATATATAGATCATGCACACACATATACACACACATGCATACATATCCAGATCGACGGGTTATCGGTCTATCCACGACACAACTAGAAGTTCCTGTGTCTGTAAAGGCATCTCCCTCACTGACTACTTCGTCCCGATCAGATTCAAAATGGTCAAAACATGAGTGTGGCGAGGGGGGCGTGGTTTAGCGGAGTCTGCAGCGGGAGAGAGCGGTCGGAGACGAGCGGTGAGTAAGTAGGTCAAGTGCATGATGACGTTCACCTGCTTCTCGTTTCAGTGAATGGCTCGTAAAAAGCCTCAGGGGGAACACAGAGAGAGAGAGAGACAGACTGAGGACTCGTGGGGAAGAGACTGTGGCCTGGGCATAGAGAACCACAGAAGTGCTATATAAGTTTTGTTTGTTTTGCAGCGCCAGAGCGCCTGTTTGTATTCGCTGTTCCTACGGGACGCTTAATAAATTACCCGAGCCTCAGTCACGCTGACTCCGACTTCTTCCTTCCCTACTAAAGAACCTCATTACAATGAGTGTTCTAACTCGTCGGGGAAGCGTTGTCTCTTAATTGACAAGATATCTCATCAATGGTGGGGAAATAGTTCAAATATGTTTTAAATAGAAAGAATAAAGGCATAGTCACTTATGAGCTATGAACTATGATTGGCACAGGGAGTGTAGTTAAACTCATCACGGCATTCAGAGCAGAAACTTGTTGTTACATATTAAATATTGTGGTCATGTTAACAGAGGTGAACTGACAGCGTGGAAGCTCTTTCATGAGATTTGAATTCTCTGCTGTAATCTGATCTCAAGCATAAAACAGACATAGTGATGTCTCACGGCCAAACTAACTGTTGTTGTGTTTGTAGATTGTCTGGCTGTATGGTGACAGAGGAAGGTTGTGGCTATGTGTCTTCAGCTCTGAGTTCAAACCCCTCAAACCTGAGAGAGCTGGATCTGAGCTACAATCACCCAGGAGATTCAGGAGTCAAGCTGCTCTCTGAAAAACTGGAGGATCCAAACTGCTCACTGGACAAACTCAAGTATGTTGAGCTGGAAGAGTTTTTAGATTTTATTGTTTGAACTTCTCAGTGTCTCTCTGTGTGTGTTTGTGTGTGTACCTGGTATTTATCACGTTATGGGGACCAAATGTCCCCACAAGGATAGTAATACTAGTAAATTTTGACCTTGTGGGGACATTTTTGAGGTCCCCATGAGGAAACAAGCTTATAAATCATACAGAATGAGTTTTTTTGAGAAAGTAAAAATGCACAAAGTTTCCTGTAAGGGGTAGGTTTAGGGGTAGGGTTGGTGTAGGGCAATAGCACATACAGTTTGTACAGTATAAAAACCATTACGCCTATGGAATGTCCCCATAAAACATGGAAACACAACGTGTGTGTGTGTGTTTGTGCACACACAGTAGGTAGTCAACCAAAATGCCACCACGTGTACCCAGTCGCATGAAATTTGTTTGCGAAATCCCCACAAGGTGGCACAAAGGGATGATTGGCATCATTGCTTTGTAAGGCTGGAATTGTGACATTGACATTTATATATGAAGAAAAAATAATGAATTAAGTTACTGGTAATAAAAATAATAGTAGTATACTGTTCATATATAGTTTCTTATTGTGGGAAAAGAGAGCCAAGCGTAAACATAGCAACCTCAAAGTGAATCGCTTACAATGAGGGCCGTCAGTGCCCTCAAGAGCCGATCTACCATGATTTTTCTTCTTTTTCCTCCACTCCTTACACACACACAGACACACATACAAACGGTTTCATGAAGACAAAAAAGTTGGATGTGTGTGTTTCGTACTCATTTTTATTGAACATTTACCTGCATTTGACACATTTGAAGCAGGTGTTCATTTTGCTTCTCACCGCTAGTGTTTCTTCAAGCTCTTGCGAAGTGCAGGAATGAAATATTGGTGCAGAATCTCTGTACTTTAGACCAGTTCAGTTTCTGTGTTAAAGGGGTCATATGATGCGTTTTCCTTTTTCTTTAGTGTGGTATGTAACTGTTTGTCCATGTATAAGATCTGCAAACTTACAAAGCTCAAAGTCTCCCACAAAAGCATTTTTGACCGAGACCTGCCGAAAACCCCTCAATTGAATTCTCCCTCACATATCTACGTCACTATGCAAAAATATTTGAATAATGCCGCCCAAATGTATATGCAAAGAAAGAAGGCGTGGTTTCAGGTATCGCAGTAGTGTTGTTGCCGCCATGTTGAGAAGAAGCGGTGTGTTTCTATGCAAAAGCAAAATCACTTTATTGGGCTTTCTGAAAGTGGATGCAATTAGGAGTCAGTGGTTAAGATTTATTTACAACACTGTTCCAGAACAGTACAACTCAAATGTTTGAGTTTGTGCAGCACATTTTATGTAGGACAGTTTCCTGAACTTGGAAGAGTATAGCTGGCTGTGCATAAATGCGGTTTCTAAAAAATGGGGCGATTCCAACTTTGCTAGGACAATCTGGCACTTACAATCATTTACAAACATAGTATTCTCTGTTATCCACTTATAACTGGCAGCATAAAGACATCAAACATAGATGCACTATGTGTTACACATCCTTCAGATGTTCAGCCAATCACAACTGGATCAGCTGGCCAATCAGAGCACACTGCGCATTTCAGGAGGACTGGGCATAGAGGAGCTACAATAATGTACAGTATGTGAAAAATAATGTGTTTTAAACATTAAAGCATGTTAACATACTCTATTACACCCAATGCACAAAATAATGATCATATGACTCCTTTAAATGACAAATTATACAAGACCATTTGGAAAATCATGTGAGCAGATTTAGTGATTTCTTTTGTGTTGTCTTGTTGTCTGTGCAAGTTGGCAAGCCTGCTGCTAGTGTTATTCTAGCATATTCTAGAACTTTACTAGAATGTTTAAAGCACTGATGTATGTGTGTGTTTACTGACTGAATGTGACTCTGTGTTTCATAGTGTGGATCATGGAGGAGAGTCCAGGATTATAACAGGACTACAGAAATGTGCGTCTACACACTCACACACAGTCAAACTTTTTATGTAATTACTGTGACTTCCCATAGGTGTAATGGTTTTTATACTGAACTAATCATCATTTTTATCTCCTAACCCAAACACCAACCCTAAACATAACCATCACAGAAAACTTTCTGCATTTGTACAGTACATTTACATTTTCATGAACAACAACAAAACCATCATTTAGTATGACTTATAAACTGATTTATCCTTGTGGGGCCCAACAAAATGGCCCCACAATGTCAAAACTTTCATAATTTACTGCCTTTGTGGGGACATTTGGTTAAAGAAGTACACACACACACACAGCTGTAGTGATTGTTGTTGTGTTCTAAATGTCTCTGTTCTTGTGTTCAGATGCCTGTTTTCTCACACTGGATCCAAACACAGCAAACAAGCGTCTCATTTTGTCTGAGGTGAACAGAGAGGTAACATGTGTGGAAGCGTATCAGGTGTATCCTGATCATCCAGACAGATTTGATTATTGGGAGCAGGTGCTGTGTAGAGAGAGTGTGTGTGGACGCTGTTACTGGGAGCTGGAGTGGAGTGGACGTGTGTGTATATCAGTGTCATTTAAGAGCATCAGCAGGAAGGGATGGGGTAATCAGTCTTGGTTTGGAGGTAAAGATGAGTCCTGGAGTTTGTCCTGCTGTCCCTCCAGATGCACATTCTGGCATAATAACATGCAGACCGATCTCCCTGTAAAGTCCATCAGCAGGAGAATAGGAGTGTTTGTGGATCACAGTGCAGGAACTCTGTCCTTCTACAGCGTCTCTGACACAATGAGCCTCATCCACACAGTCCAGACCACATTCACTCAGCCGCTCTATCCTGGGTTTAGGGTTTATGGATCAGTGAAACTGTATATACAGAATAGATTTTAAAGTTTTTAAAAACAGATTTTTAAAATAGATTTTTTATTATGCCCATGATAAATCAGTAACAGTGAGATGTTATAGAGTCTCCAAAGTCTCCTTTGGCAGTATGCAGGGATGGAGACCAGAGGCCATTGTATGTGACTGGCTGAGGTGTCTCACATGATCCAAATTAGCCATTACGCTCTTTCCAATGGTAAGTACTACAGACCAGTGGCGGAGCTAGAGTTTTATACATGGGGTGGCAATGGCTAATCAAGGGGGTCCATAGACCATAACAGAAAATCAGTGTATAAATCCAACCTGGCATAAAAAAGCATGAAAAAAAAAAAAATGATTACTGATTACTTCACATTACCCCACATTAGTTAAACATACCGTAACTTCAAATGTTAGTCTATTGGAACTTATTTCTCTTATTTCTATCATTCTCTTATTTAATCTCATTAACCAGTGGTTGGAGCAAAAGATCAAACATTAACATATAGGCTACAATTAATTTTATTTTGTAAATGTTGTTCAGTAACCTAAAACTTCAACTTACTTCAAACATGGCTTCCAACTTTTGAGTTCAGCCTGGAGTGAGAATTATTCAGGAATAATTAACAAGCTTGCGATTAAGTACATGTTATTTTTTCTCAATTTGTCTAATCGAAACTATACAGGGAGCCCTACTGTTAAGGTTAAAAGTAACAATTGATACCCCTATTTGGGGTAACTAACTTAACACCAGGGACACATGATGCTGGATTTAAAATTTGGGCATGAAAAGGTTTGAGTAAGGTGGGAGATTTATTTAGAAATAAATAATCTAGGACCTAAATTCATTGCAGTTCCCCCTCGAGGGAACTCACACTGTGTCGGTAACGACACTTTGGGGAAATCCCCTCAGCGTAGCGCATCTGAAGCATGAATGAAACTATTCCAATCCTGATTGGTATTACGTCATGACGTAACATGTGACGGCATACACGGAAGCTACAAAGGGACGCCGGCACACAACAGTCAGCTTTTTGCTCTTCAGCAAGCGCTCTGTGTCATTGTGTGTCTTATTTGGTGTTGTTTGTCACAAGCATTATATATACATTATATATATTATCATGGCGAGTGGACAGTTTAAGCAGTGTGTGCATCCCTGCCCGAGGTTTTTAACGGGTGGGGACACACATTAGCTGTGAGTTCATTGTTTGGGAGCTCCCGCCTGGCTGTGTTTGATGAGGCCGGCCAAGCTCGCGCACCCCGCGGTTTGGGTCCCATGTCCACCGAGGCAGCGCAGCGGCTTAAGATTGTAGGGCTCGCAGATGGATCTGTCAGGAGGGCTAGAGACTGCTGCGGCACATTCTCAGTCCTCGTCTGACAGTTCCAATGTTCTCACTCCATGTGCGGAAGCCCGCTCCGCGGTTTCTTCCGCACGGGAGGAGAACCCGATGTTGGAGCTGTCTAATTCTGAGGAATTAGACAAGCTCAGCATCGAGGCAGGTGAAAGTGCAGAGAGCTCGCCACTGCATTCACACGCAAATGAGGAGCTTGTTGATGTGCTGACTCAATGTGTTGACAATGAGTTGTGTAAGTCATGGAATAAACCGTACTCCGCACGACTGTCTAACCCTCCTGTTAGATTATAATAACATTTTAGGAGCACGTGAGTATGGTTATGGGATGATGCCTCGGGTGGAAGAGGCTTTAGCCAGCTACCCTGACGTTGTGTCGTCCCTCAAAGCCCCGGTACTGCACACCAAACCTTGTCGTGATACATCATTATTGGTGGGCAGGGCTTATATGGCGGCAGGTCGCGCTGGTGCATGCCTGCATACAATGGTGCTTATGCAGGCATACCAGGCTGATATTTTAAAAGATTTAGATGAGGGCGAGGGACCAACTCCGGATGATTTAGCAGAGCTGCGTAGAGCCGCAGATTTGTCTCTCCGTGTTACCAAGGAGACGGCCCGTGCCATCGGCCGCTCCATGGCAGCTATGGTAGCCACGGAGAGACATCTGTGGCTAAACTTATCAGGGATAAAGGAAAAGGACAGGGCCTTCCTCCTAGATGCCCCAATATCGCCTTCTGGCATGTTTGGCGACGCAGTCAATATGGTCGTCGACAGGTTTCAGGAGGCGAAAAAGCAGTCTGCGGCTTTTAAGCAGTACCTCCCTCGCCACTCTAAATCTAAGAAGGCTGCTGGCCTGTTCGGTGACGCAGTCAATATAGTCGTCGACAGGTTTCAGGAGGCGAAAAAGCAGTCTGCGGCTTTTAAGCAGTACCTCCCTCGCCACTCTAAATCTAAGAAGGCTGTTTCGAGTGGGCAGCCCCAGCTGTCATCAAGCTCCTCGTACCGGCAGGTACAAAAAGAGAGTGTCGCTTCTAGAGGCCCTCCTCAGGGATCTTGGCAACAGAGGCGACGCTCTCGTCTGAAGCCTGCTGAGCCGAAGATCGATTTGAGGACCGTCCTTCAGGCGAGAAAGGCTTCGGGAAAGAGGTCCTAGCTTTCGCAGGGCCTCTGAGGGTTGCCCCTCCCGGGGTGGAGCAATCGAGGTCGTTTTCACCTGGGAACCCTCAGGAAATCAATGTTGGAATCCCGCCATCCAGTACGCTTCGGTCCATATCAATTTCCGGCGAAAGCACGCTGCAGTGTCCACCCCAAAGGCTTGTGGCCTGGCAGCGACAGCGTTCGCACACAGAAAATCGTTTTTGATGTTTTCCTGCCGGTATTCCGCTTAAGGGGATCGTAAACGATATTCGAAGAGCACCCGAGGTCAGCCTTGAGAGGCTGATTCCCTTAGTAGATTATATCGGTGCATGGCGATGCCTTCCGAATATATCTCCATGGGTCCTGCGTACAGTAGAAAGGGGGTACAGACTGCAGTTTGGTTACCACCCCCCGAAGTTCAGTGGGATGGTCTGGACTGTGGTGCACCCCGAGCAGGGTCGGGTGATGGAACAGGAAGTTCACTCCCTGTTGGTAAAGGAGGCCATAGAATGTGTACCTCCGCCAGACAGGGAGTCCGGGTTCTACAGCCGGTACTTCATAGTTCCCAAGAAGGATGGGGGATTGCATCCAATTTTAGACCTGCGGCAATTGAATTGGCTTCAGGGCATCCGTGTGCTGAATTATATCGACGACTGGCTTATACTGGCCCAGTCTCGAGAGATGGCAGTTTGGCATTGAGATGTCGTCCTTGGCCACATTCAGAGCTTGGGGTTGAGACTCAACACGTTTCTGTCCCAAGGCCCAGTACTGGGAGCGTCATGTCGGCGAAAAGTCGTTTCGACAGACTCATCCCTTATGGGTTGGGGCGCGGTCATGGATGGCTGCTTTGCAAGAGGTCTGTGGCAGGCCCAGCATTCCTCATGGCACATAAATTGGCTGGAAATGCTAGCGGTCTACAAGGTGACCGCTGAGATCTGGGAGAAAGCTCCTCAGAGCCATGTCCTAATACGAGCAGACAATGTCGGTGGTCTCGTATTTGAACCATCAGGGGGGTCTGAGGTTGTGCCCTCTGTGCAGACTGGCGCATCATAACCTCCTGTGGTCCAAGGGGAAACTGTTGTCTCTCAGAGCGATGTATGTCCCTGGGGACCAGAATCAGGGAGCAGACGTCCTGTCGAGGCAGGGGTTGAGGCCCGGGGAATGGAGACTTCACCCCGAAGTGGTGAAGTCGATATGCGAGAGGTTCGGCCCAGTGGAAGTGGATTTGTTCACGTCCCGAGAGACGACCCACTGTCCACTGTGGTTTTCTCTCACGCATCCAGCCCCACTTGGGTTGGACGCCATGGTACAGATGTGGCCGAGGCTACGCCTGTACGCTTTTCCCCCGATCGCTCTGCTCCCGGGAGTTCTGGAGAGGGTCCAGAAAGAAGGGGTCAGTCTATTGCTGGTAGCCCCGTTCTGGCCGGCCCGGGTATGGTTCTCAGACATTGTGTCACTCCTGGCAGGCCAGCTGTGGCAGATTCCTCTGAGGAGGGACCTGCTGTCTCAGGCAGGGGGCACGATATTTCACCCTCGGCCAGAGCTGTGGAAACTGTGGGTCTGGTCCCTGAGGGGGCTCAGTACCTGGAGGCTGGCTTGTCGGCTGGAGTGATCGAGACCATACTCAGTTCCAGGGCTCCCTCCACAAGGAGATTGTACGGCCTAAAGTGGAATGTGTTTTCCACGTGATGTAGAGAGTGTGGGTTGGACCCAGTTAACTGCCCAGTGGCTTCAGTGCTGGAGTTCCTCCAAGATCGCTTCTCTGCTGGTCTTACCCCGTCCACACTAAAGGTGTACGTGGCTGCCATTGCGACTTTCCACGCTCCTTTAGGTGTTGGGCCTCTGGGAAGGCATCAGCTGGTCGTGCGTTTCCTCCGTGGTGCATGGAGGATGAAGCCTGCGATTCGTTCCAGAGTCCCAACTTGGGATCTGGCTGTGGTTCTTGAAGGGCTGTCACTTGCCCCCTTCGAACCTCTCGAGTCGGCTACGGCAAAGAACCTGACCTTTAAGATGGTCTTTCTCCTGGCAATTACTTCGCTCAAGAGAGTGGGGGATCTCCAGGCCTTGGCTATCTCGCCGACTTGCCTGGAGTTTGCCCCTGGAGGAGTTAAGGCCATTTTACACCCTAGGCCTGGCTATGTGCCCAAGGTGCCATCTAATGTGGAACGGCCGGTGGTTCTTCAGGCCTTCCATCCTCCGCCTCATGTGACGGCGGAAGAAGAGAGGCTTAATCTGCTCTGCCCTGTCAGAGCATTGAACATCTTTATGTAGCGTCTGCGTAGGATCATGTACGATCGTTTGGGTTTATGGCTTAAGAGACCCCTTTTAGCCTTTGACATTTGCATATAAATTACAGTCCTGGCTACAGATTCTACATTTATATGGGTGCTAAATTGTCAAATGGTTCCCCCCACTATCAAGGAGATGCTAAGCAGTCTACCACTATCATCTCCCCATCTGACTTCAAACAGTTTCCAAAGAGAAGTAAATGACCCCCGCTGCCAGGCGCCAACGGGCCTGGCTGACCTGCAAAACTACACC